AGCAGCTTCGGTTGTGAAAGCTCCTCCGGCGAGGAAAGCGATCCCTGAATATCCCTTTTGGCAGCAGAACTGGTTTATCGGTCTGCTTTTCGTTATGGCTTTGGGATTCTTCTCTCTCGCTCTCTTCCTTTACCTTAGCCTCGATCCAGATTCCGGCTACACAACTCCTGCCTCCGCCGCCGCATCTGCTAAAGAAGGTGTCGAGGTGTGTGTTTTCTAAATCGCTAATACGTTTGAATTTGCAATGAACATTGGTAGCGATTATGATTTTTGTATTTGCACGAAATCAGATTTTCTTATCGAATCGCTGCTATTGTTGTTTCTTGCATTGATTTTGCTTGAAATTCGAATTGGGTTTTGATCAGATGCAGAGAGAATATCTAAATCAATGTTCTCGTTCTGATATGACAGATTACTTATGGTAGTGCGATTAAGCTGATGCACGAGAAAACCAAATTTCGACTACATTCTCACGATGTACCGTACGGATCCGGAAGTGGTCAGCAATCAGTCACTGGTTTTCCAGGCGTTGTTGATTCCAACAGCTACTGGGTACTTTCCTCGTCCCTGCCTTCTCCTCTTGCTTTAATGGATCATGTTTTAATTAGATTGGAGCAACTAAGCCATTGGATCTTAGAACAAAACATCGACCCGCATTTGTTACCGTATACATTGTCAAAACATTGAAGTCACTTCTTCATCTAGTAAATCATTGTTTAAACATCTAGAAGGATTAGCCTATGGATGTTGTTTTGACATCTTGATATTTCTGAAGCAGAGAAATTGTTGCACATTCTGTTCATCTTGAACTTTAAACTCCCATCTGTTTGGCTCTGATTTGAAGCTATGGTACTGTTTCCTATTGTATCAAGTGTTTTAATGAATTATGGTGGAGTAGTAGTAACTGAGAGGCGCATTATCCTGTAAATGGATTTTTCATATGACAGATTGTTAAACCTGTGCCTGGAACAACAGCCAAGCAAGGTGATGCTGTCAAGAGTGGAGCTACCATTAGATTGCAGCACATGAAGACTAAAAAATGGCTCCACAGTCATCTGCATGCATCTCCTATATCAGGAAACTTAGAGGTCAGTATCCTTTTCCGCATAAAGTAAAATGCTACATCCTTTTTGTTATCGATTTCCTGATCCGCTAAGCTTGCATGTGAAAGATACATGTGGAGATCTAAGAACTTGATATAGAGAGCAAGTAGTATTAAGGATATTTACTAACGGGTCTATTTGAATTGTGAAGTTCTATGCTGGTTTCAATTGGTGGTTGCAAAGTAACACATTTTGTCGGTGCAGGTTAGCTGCTTTGGAGATGATTCAAATTCCGATACTGGAGATCATTGGAAGTAATAATCCTTAAAAGCAATTTGATATTCATCTAATAATAGTCTATCTACATCCACCCAAAAAACTCACGCATCTTACCATTTGCTCATAGGCTTATAATTGAAGGGAGTGGGAAGACGTGGAAACAAGACCAAAGAGTCAGACTTCAACACATAGACACTAGTGGCTACCTCCATAGCCATGACAAGAAGTACCAACGTATAGCCGGTGGTCAACAAGAGGTAACTAAATATCATAATTTCTCAGACAAATCCTCATCTCTTCTCATAACTTCATTCAAAGATTGTTGCGCAATGTCTTGTAACTCATGATTAGAGAAATAGCAAATGAGTTTCGGTTTTTTGGTTACGTGTAGGTCTGTGGAATCCGGGAGAAGCGGGCGGATAACATTTGGTTGGCAGCAGAAGGAGTCTACCTTCCCCTGAATGAGAGCAGCAAGTAAGGTGAAGAGTGTCTTAAACTTCTCTAGGGGACTTTGAATCTTATCTTTTACTCTCTAAACTTATTAAACAAGAAAATAGAGATATATATTTGCTAATGTTCGATTGATAATACACTTTTAGTCGTACGAATATTGTTTTGGTAGATATTTGCATCTATCTTTCTTTACTTTTTTTTTTTTATTGAAGAGTTGAATTATTATCTGTTTGTGACTAGAAACTTTGATTTCTCTCATCAAACAGTACATTGCCGATAGTCGATAAGTCGATGATTCAACTCAGTGACAATGTAGCCTGCAGTCGAATTATAATGTAATTTAAACACACATGAAACTGAAGAAAAAAATTACGTTAAAACTTAATTTTAAATGATAAATTATGATAAAGTCTTGGAAGTCCTTATACATCTCAGATGTTTTAGTAAACAATGATTTTCATTCTTTTGTTTTAATGGTTG